TAATTTTTCAAAAAGACTGGGCTCAGCTAGATGTCTTACTTTACATTTACTCTAAGGCATTCTCCACATGTCCTCTCCAACATAGTAATTAGATGTCTTATCGGGCAAGTCAAACCATCTTTAGCACATACTATCAGAGGGAAAAAAATTGAAGTCACTCATCTCATAAGGTTCATACGTACAAGAGGACAGCACATTCCTTCATTCATGTTCTGTTGGTCAAAGCAGTCCTAGCCCATCTGGATTTAAAGTAGCCAGGCGATCTTAGACCTCATCTGTGGATGGAAGATTATCAAAGAATTTTTATCTACCTCTAATTTACCACACTTGGAAAAAAATGTATAGCACCATTTGTTGCTCATATCCTGTATTTTTCAAATAAGATATGATCAGAACATACACTGACTGTTTAAATGTAAAAATAATTATTACAGTAAAAGACACATTCCCATTAATCCCCTTCAGGATACTCCCCCTCTCTTCAAACACATGTATCCCATCATTCTTGCCACTTTATGAAGCAGTTCCACAAATCATTCATGAGTATCTTTACAAGTTGTGATAAAAACTACAGGGACTGCTGCTGCTGAATGTCATCTGGTGGGAAAGCAGGATTATAAAAATATCACAGCATGTTCTCATCCACTTATTCACCAAATCTGGCACCGTGCAACTTGTGGCTCTTCCCAAAGTCAAAGTGACCAAGAAAGGTTAATGTTTTAATTGATTCAGGACATTGAGGCTACCATGACAGCACAACTAAAAACAAAGAAAAGTTCCAGAACTGCTTCAAAAGTAGCATGAATGATGGAATAGGTATGTTCCAAGTGAAGGAATATTTTGAGTGGAATTAATGACACTTACTGTAATAGATATTTTTTAAAAATTTTATCGCTCACCACATTTTTTATCACATCTCATACCTGCTTCACTTTATGCTTGTACTTAATTTATTGAAATAATTTTCATAGTGCATTGAGTGGCAGTATAATGGTTAAGAACATTAGAGTTAGATAAAGCAAGATTTGGATCATAGGTCTGCCTTTTACTTGCTGTGTAAACTTGAACAAGTAACTAAACCCCTCTGAGCCCTAGTTTCTTCATCTATAACGTGATGGAGGATAACAATACCTCCCTCTCATGTCTATTGGAATGAGATTATATAAAATACTTATCACACTGCCTAACACATTACATGCATTCAATAAACAATTGTATTGGTGATAATAATTGATGATTCAGCATTTTAACTATACATGACTCTTTCCAAACTAGAGTGTGAAGTCAAAAATATTATCTTACTCCTTTAAGTCCATTACCTAGCACAGGGCCTGGCATTAAAATATTGAGCAAATGGACATTGAGACAACTGAATAGCAGCACAAAAATGATTTGTCTCCATTGTAGTTCCTTGGTTTAGGTGTATACAGAGGCTGGAGGATAATATTGCTAGTCTGAGTAAGTGCAAGTCTCGAAGTAGTGAGAAGGCTCAAGACTACACTGAAACATACTTTAAATTGTGTGGCAGAGTAAGACTGTCCTGACTAACACACAGCATTTGCAGCATTTCAAGTAGGCTGGGACTTTGGGAAGTGCATAAATCAGAAGAGAAAATACAAATCAATTTCTATGGCTTGTCCAGCATTGGACATCCCAAGAGTCAAGGCTATGGAGAAAGGGTGCTAAAAGAAGATATATTAAATGACAAACTGAACAGGATATTTGTTGTGAAAAGGACTTTGTGGGAATGCCTTTTCCATAACACCTTTGTATGATTTCAAATCTCCTTCAGAAGGTTGAATTCCAAACGTAAGTGGTGATAGTATGTACTTGTTGGCTGTACACTTCAAGCTAGGTCAGATGCCAAGATAAAGGAGAGAATTTCTCTTGTGTTATATTCCCAGTGTGTTTTAAATTACACTTTGGTTATTTAGGTTCTGCACTACTTGTATAAGACCTATGATTTCAGTTCTTTTTGATTGACATTGAAAATCCACTTTGGCATTTAATAGTTAAAAATAAACCAAAGAAACAGTCAATGCAATAGGAGCCTTTGAAATGTCATGTACAACCTGCCCTGTAGCAAGCCCTGCTGGACAGTGTAGCCTATGGAAATCTTGGCATATTGAACAAAAGGAAGAAGGGGAGTTTGTCTACTCTGACTTTAGCAATATGTCATAAATACACTTGCTTTTAAATGAATTTATAAAATATTAATGTAATCATACCAAATAACAGAGTGGTGAGTACATCAGTCAGAAGTTGTATTCATCCTTTATATTGTGGCTTTTTATCCCCATTTATTAGTAGACAAAACATGGAGACAGGCATTTCTTTCTCAGTGGAAGTGACAGAACTTGTTTAGTGAAATGATGTTTCTGTAATCTGTAGTAAGGTAGAGTTGTGAGTGAAAGAGCTATGTGAATAACAATGAGGATGCAGACAAAACAATAAAAGGACAAACATTTCAGTAGGAGGGGAATATAGATGGAATTGTTTATTTGGCACACAATCTAATCTGATCTTTTCCTAATGAAAATTAACAGTCTGTAAATGCGTGAGATAATGTTAACAATTTCTTCAAAATCTTCTGCATAAGGAATGTGATTTTCCAAAGATATAAATGGCATTCTGAACCACAGTTCCCTTACCATATAGCATAGAAGAACAGATACCAGGGGCGTTAAATTCTCCAAGGCCAAAAGGAAACCTACCCCCTGCATACAGCCTGACACAAATGTTTGTGGAATGGGAGAATGAATGCTTGAACCAGTGATTTATCAGTGTGATTGCACATTTTGAATGGAAGAAAGAAAACTTAACCATTCAGGCCTACCTATCATGCCAGAGGTCTTCATATCTATTCTGTCCTTTCATCCTTTAAATGTAATTATTTATCCCCACTTCTACAAAAAAGGAAATGGAAACATGGAGATATTAAGCAACATTCCTCAAGGTCACATAACTATATATGGAGAATAGAGATATGAAAGCCACAGGAGAAGTGTGTGTGGGGTGTGTGTGTGTGTATGTATGGGTGTGTGTGTTGATTGAGATGACATAATAGTGCTTAAAGTTGTATGTTTTCGTTAAAAAAAAATCCTCCTGGGAGCAAATTTTTTCTCCTAAAACTTTAAAAAGTCATGGCATCTCAGGATGACAAGCATATGAAAGGATCACAGATGTCCTAGCTTGCTTGGGTTGGGTTTGTAACAGGAGAAGCCCATGTGCCATCCTCTTGCCCATCTGCCTAAACATGGGACTCCCTCTTAGTTGGCCTGCTAGACCTGAAGCTATGCTTTTGTGGGAACCATGCTTCTTGCTGTTTAGGTCCACTTCCTCTAACATCTTAGAACTATCTAGGACTTCAGAGTTACCTTGAAGACATCCTTATAAGCACTGCCCCTCTCACCTATGTGGTGAGCATGGTGAAGTTTTGGGGAGTAAACCCTGTTACTACTACCGCAACTGTCCCTGCATTACCCTGCATCACTCTTTATGCAACTTTTTTTGTTCATAGTACGTCGTAAATAGTTCTATTGTGAGGATAGGTGTGATAGGCAAGGAACTCAAAGCAGCATTCCCTTTTCGCAGAGAAATTGCATTTTTTATATAGAAATGAAATTTAAACAATGAAATCATTACTGTCCCCTCCCTGGACCCATACCTTATAGGGGACCTGTACTTTAGAAGGCCTACTTTGATATATTCTAAATGCCTTTCCAATGTAGACCACTGGCCAGATGGTGAGTCTCATCAGGAGAATTGCTCTGATTCTAGAGCATGCCCTACCTGTGTTCCGGTCACAATAATCACCTTTTCTGAAATTTTCTATTTCCTGAAGTTTTTTTTTAAGTTTTTCTCCTGAGGGGGCTAGCTGTTTTGTCTAGATGAGGAACCCCAATCTCAACCTAGACCCATATGGACTCCAGTATCCATTTCTCCCTTTTGTGACATTTGCCAATCCTCTGCCCCATGTATGGAATCCACTAGAGACCCCAAGAGGCTTCAGGACTCATGCCTATGGAATCCTCCCAGGGTGTTGGTTCCAGGAGAATGGCCTGACAAGTAAATCACTCCAGCTGGGTAAAGTGATTTCTTTAATGATACTGTATTAGATTGTGTCACCAGAATATTGTTGATGCTAATTGGTTTGAATCAAATTGTGTATAGAGAGAAACTCCCTCAAAAATATTTGGGCACTGTCTCACATCTCCTTAAGGCATTCCTGTATGAAACAAAAGGCCATGTAAAATAAAGTTCAGTGGCAACAAGTATTGACAAGTTTTTAGACAATGAGTTAAGAATGAACCAGAATGATCTGCCAAAGTTTGTTCAAAGAGAGCGAAACTTAAACTACATCTAAAAAATGGGAAAGTTTCAGAGAGACTCAAATGATTCTAGGCAGGAAAACAACATCAACAAAGGCACAGAAAGTAGTTAATTTACTGAGACGTTTTGTACTATGTACTGTGCTACATACAAAATTCGTCATTTTAATTATTCCTTCCAGTTCCCTGTCAGGTAGGACTTATGAACCCTATTTTACACCTGAGAAAAATGGAAGTTCATATTGCTAGCAAATGATAGATGTAGAGCCCAAATCTACTTGATATGTGTGCTTTTAACACCACACTGTACTGTGAATAGAACGTAGGGACAGCAAGAACCCTGGATGGACTTGAGCTGAAGGTATGTGTTGGAAATTAATGGAGGCAAGTTCACTAGTAAAGGTGCAGTCATATTACAAAAGATGTTAAATATCAAAATGAGATATAGACAATTACATAGGCCCTGATAAAAAAAAGAACAGAAAAACAAGCCCTATCCAAATGAAAATGCACAGCTGTAATATAGTATTTAAGACCTAAGAACCCTAAGCAGCGTGTTTTTTTTAAATATTTTGCCTTAGAAAGTTGCTTGCTTTGAAACTTACATTTTGCCTCTGTTTGACCTTGCCTGGTGTCATTTATTGATGTCTTTTTTCCTTTCCTTTTTAGACTTTGATCCTGCCCTTGGAATGATGACTGGAATTCCACCAATAACTCCAATGATGCCTGGTTTGGGAATAGTGCCTCCACCAATTCCTCCAGATATGCCAGTAGTAAAAGAAATCATACACTGCAAAAGCTGCACACTCTTCCCTCCCAACCCAAGTATTGTTCTGCCTTTTTTCCCATATGTGTGTTTTGGTATATAAGAAAACTTCCATCAGTTTCAAAAGAATACCCAGAGGCTTCATGGATATATGTATAGAAGCTTCACACCTAGAAAACAAGAGAAAGAATTGTTTCTCACTAGGCAAAGCTGCATTTATGCAAAGAATAGTTTTGTGTCCTGGTTGCAATACAAATAATATAACATGATTCTAATACTGCCTGGTAAGGAATTCAAGTGTGTTAGTTGAGAAGGTACGCAGTGCAAATTGCTCCATGCTGGCATTTGTAGTGTTCTCTTAACTGGCCCACATTCTGGTGATGGCAGAGCTTGAACATAGTCTGTGAGCACCTGAGCACATGATAATTTTATTTGGTGCTAGGAATTCCTCAGTGCTACAGGCCAGTCATATGATATTCCAATATCTGCTATTCAACTCATGGGCAGCAACACAGTGATGTGTAGTTCAAGTTATTGGGAGGGCAAAGAGAAATGTTAAGGCTAAGTCAAACTACTTGTTGCTATCCAATCAACCGAGTTCACATAGAAACAGTCTAGGCGTCTGTCTTGTCTTACTGGTCTTATGTTCTCTAGAATTCTGCTTCCTAGACTCACTTTAAAATATCAGTAAAGATAAGGATGTTTGAGTTAAAATATAACACCAATGAAATTGAATCAAAATTTCTTTACATCCATTTTGAGTTTCATATCCTTTAAATGATTTGTGCACAAGATACTTGTGCACAAGACTTAAGAATTACTAATGTTTTTTACATAGTCCCAGTGGTGCTTGGTAACATGCCAAAGAAGTCACTGCTGTGGTACTAAAAGACCCATTCACATGAACAATACTTACCAAAATAAACATGAACCTTTGACATGTGACTTCAGACAAATGCTTAATCATCAAATAACCATGATTTAGATCCTAGCCGAGACCTAGACTCTACAGTACTTGGTGTGATCTGCTTATCACTAAGAAGGTTTTAGAATTAGTAAGAGTTAGTTAGACATATCCTCTTGGACACTTTTGCTAGTGCAAACTGATCTTAATGTCTTCTGACTTTTGAACTTGGTTTTGACCAGGGTACATCCTTCCAGACCAATAATAAATCTAAGAGACCAATATCTCAGAGAACTGTATTGGGAGAAGAGCTGGAAAATCACAAAGAGAGTTAAGGGAATTGAGGATAAAATGTCCTTGTAAGCTTTACTTGCGAACCCAAATGGCCATTTGTATGTTTGTGTTTAGTGCTTTAGTGAATGGGCAGTGCTGTTTTATTTTTGTCTCTTAGTTCTATTGTTCCTGCAAATGTGCAATGACCTTTTACTTCTGTTGTGTTCCTTTTGGATTGGAAAAAGCTCTGTATCCCTCTTAATACCTTTTTCATGTCAAAAGCCATAAATTTAGGCATTGAAAGTGCTTATTAAAAGGTTTTAAAAATCCTATTGATTTAATCATCTATAGATGGTGTAATAAGCCTGCAGTAGTCTTACATTGCCTCAGTCAAGTCTGAGCTAATAGGATGGCTAAAGATCTAAAACGGACCAGGGCAAGGGCAATAAATGACTTTAAGAAGATTAAGTTTTTGAATTTCCAAAAAATAGCACAGATGCCTTGTTTATAACATACAGACCACATTGTTGATCAGTCTTTCCATGTCAAAATATATGACTTAATGAGGCTTATTAACTTCATAGTCTCTAGTAAAAGAAAGAGAAATATCACAAATACATGATTTATGTTTTTACGCCTGAAGCCATGGCTTTTCAGTTCTGAGTTGGAAGTGCCACCAAATAAGAGGGAAATACTGTACTCTCACAGCTCAATCTTTAGTTCTTTATCTTTGGACTAAGGATGCTGACAGGGCAATTAGGGGGTGGCTTCTGGGAAGGAACCTGGCTTTGGAATTTAATTCAAAAATAATACCCCTGACAAAGCTTAAAGTACACTAATGTTCTGTTTCATTTTAGAATTCAAATTTTGCTTTATTTTAGAATTCAAATTTGGGAGAAAGGAGTCTTGTTATTGATTGGGTGGGGAAAATACTAATTGAGGTACCTCCCTTAGTTTTTTACTGAAAAAAAAGCATGGCAAAAAGTACCATTATTGTTAATAGTGCTAAGGCTTATTTTTGTGAAGCTGAGACTGGAATATTGGTAGAAAAGAGAAAGAACAGGGGTGTTGGTACAACTGAACCCCCTATATCCTCAAGGGTCCACAAAACCCCTCCCTAAGGCCTCGATTATAAATCCCACTGTTTTCTCTGGCCTGACTCTGCGATATTCTTTTATACTCAGTGACCTCTGGCTCCAAAGTTTCTTCTCTTAGCAATAATAAAGTCTTATAATTCAGAGACCCTCACAATATCTTTATTCACCACCTAGTCTACTTCTAAGTCTTGTTTATTAAAATATATCTTCCCAGGGGGTGGGGATTTAGCTCAGCGGCATAAGCGCCTGCCTTGTAAGCAAGCAGTCGTGAGTTCGATCCCTGGTACTGATAAAAAGGAAAAAGACAAAAAAATGTATCTTCCCCATCAATGCCTCCCCCTTTGTTCTACCTGATACTTCATCAAGATGCTTGTCACATACACAGAATCATAAAATTGTCCTGGGGCTCTCATTGCCCACAGATTCATAGTCCAGCTTCTGACCTCAAAACCTTTCACTGTTCTGCTTCATGACTGTCTTCAGGGGGCTGGGGATTTAGCTCAGCGGCATAAGCACCTGCCTTGCAAGCAGGCAGTCGTGAGTTCGATCCCCGGTACCAATAAAAAGGAAAAAGAGGACAAAAAAAAAAATAATGACTGTCTTCAGTACATCATTTCTACTTGCCATGTTACCCCTCCACCCCGCCTTTAGTCAGGCTCAGCTGGCTTCTGACCTCACACCCCTTATACTCCACTCCAGCCTACTTTCCTGGCAAGTGCATACTCTCCAGGCATGCTTCTCATAGAAGGCACTGAAATCTGTGGCAAATCATTATAATGTGCTTTCACTTAAAGAGTGGGTACTAAACCTTTGGTGCATTCCTTAGCAGCAAAAGTCCCCCCAAAAACTATACAGCTATTTCTAGTTCTTCTCCTCTTCAGTCTGACCTCCCCTTCTCTGATGTTGTTGCTTCTATGTCTATCAGCATTTCCCTTAAGAACACTAGTGACTTTACAGTGCTAAATCCAGTGGTCAATTTGCAATTCTCTTTCTAGTTGATCAATAACAGTATATGTCACAGTTGTTTGCTTTTTACTCCTTATAATTTCCTCATCTGACTTCTAAAATACCATACTACTGGTTTTCTTTCCACCACACTGGTTTTTATTTCTCAATCTCCTTTGTTGGTCCTGTCTTGCCTGACTTCTTATTGGAGAGCCCTCAGTCCTTGAACTGCTTCTTTATCTATAATCATACCTTTGACGATATCATCTAACCTTGTAGCTTAAGAACTGTACATGAATAATACCCAAATTTATACTTTAAGTTTAGAACTAGCCTCTGATTTCCAAATTCATGTCCAACTGCTTACTTGCTATCTCCATTGGAAAATCAAACAGACATCTCAAATTTAACGTGATCAAAATGAAATTTCTAGATTTGCCCCTAGGCCTGTTCCGTTAGTGTCCTTCCCCATTGCAGTTAGTAGAAACTGCATTCTTTGAATTGCTCAGGACAAACTTAGACATTATCCTTCCCTACTTTCTTTTCCTCTCATACCACATTTAATGTTAGAAAATTCTGTCTTAAATTATATGGATGAAATCCTAGTACTCTTACAGTAACCACTGCTATGATCCAGTTTATATCCTTTATAATTCATTTTCTGAACCACTGTAGTAGCCTTCCAGTTGGGTCTTCCTCTTTCACTCCCCACCTAGTCTATTCTCAATTGACTAGGCAGAATAATCCTTTTAAATCTAAATCAGATTATATCTCTCCTCTACTCAAAACCCTTCAATACTCTTTAGTTTACTCACAATAAACGCTAAGTCCTTTTAAAAGACTATATCGCCTGTTCCCCCTCCAAATTTTTTCTTCGACTTTCTTTCCTGCTCTCCTCCCTGTTGCTCACTCTGTTCTCATCACAATGACCTCTACACTGTTTTGTGAAAATACCAAAATACACAAGATGTTCTTCCGTCATACAGCCTTTGCACTGGCTCTTCCCTATGCCTGGAATACCCTTCCCCCAAACATCTATATAGCTAACTCTCTCAACTTCTTCAAGTCTTTGCACAATGTCACTTTCTCAGAGGCTCTGATAATCTACTTAAAAGTGGAGCTTTCCCCATCATATCCCCTGTGCAACCTTATCTTCATTATTTTAATATAGCATTACCTTTTTAACAACTTGTGTAATTTATAGAATAGAAACTCCACAGAGACTAGAGTTTTTGTCTATTTTGTTCATTAAAATTCCCCCAGAACTTAGAAACTGATATATAATAGCTATTCAATACATGTTTGTTGAAGGATGGGTAGATGGAGAGGGAGGTGGGTAGATCGAGGGATGCATGGTGACAGAAGGGGCAGTCAGAGCTCTGAAAAGCAAACCAAGAGAATAGATGGTAATTACTATTACATGTTGATGACTTTGAAATCTATGTTTTTGCCCTGTATAGCTCTTCTGAGCTTCAGGAACTTATAGCCAACTACGTACTAGAATTGTGTTACTTAATCAACATCAAAGATTTTTTAAAAGATATTTTAAAAGATATCTTTAAAAAAGATACTTTTAAAGATTTTTTAAAGGATAGATTGTAAGACAGAACTGTGTTCCACTCCTAGCTCTGTCTCTAACTATCTGTGGGATCTTGCCCTGCCATATAATATTCTTGAGTCTGAGTTTCCCTATCCAAAAAACAAAGAATCTGGATTAGATAAGTCAGGATACCTCCAAAACTTCATGTAGCTCTAAAATTATGGTTATGCACATTAAAATATATCTAGCACTATATTTACCTAGGCAAAATCCATCAAAATGTATTGGGCAAAACAAGAG